GGGGATAACTCCACCACAGCCAGCATGTGTCCCCAGTCCCATTAACCTTAATGGTCATTTCTGTTAAGCTGCATCGATAGGAGCTACGGGCATGTAGGTCACAAACACGGCTGTACATCACTGTAGCAGCTCATTAACGACAGTGGGAACTGCTACCTGAATATGGTCTCTGGTTAAAACAGCCAGAGATACGAACCTAGCAAACACAAACTCAGCAGTGGAAAACCCTGCTGTGCCTTTCTGCACAAACAACACAAGTTTACTCATCATCCACACCGACCAGCATCACTGGAGCTGCCTGTTCTCCAATATATTTTCACTTTTTTGATAACATAACATAATTATTTAATGATAAAAGTTTTACTTCTAGCATCACATAACAGCCAAACACTATTTGGTGGGATTATTCCACCTTAAAAAATTTTTTTTTTTTAAGAACTGGAGCAAACCCTTTTGGGTGCTTTACATTTTTTCGTTTACTCTGGCATGAGAAATAGGTTTAAAGTATCTGGATATTTTGTTTTAAATCTTAAATATTTCATTAACATTAATAAATTGTAAATAAATAAGCAGCAGCCATTGCTAAAGTATGAAAAAGACATTCTCAAATATAAACTAATAATAACTCAACAATCAAAAACTGCCTCGTCATTACAAAAATGATCTATGGACAGTCACAATCATCACAATCAGATTCTTACATATTACACATGTCTCAGTATGAAGCCGATTAACAAAATGGGACTTCAAGGCGTGTGTGTGTGTGTGTGTGTGTGTGTGTGTGTGTGTGTGTGTGTGTGTGTGTGTGTGTATGTATGTGTGTCCACACATTCCCATGAATGATGAATGCCAAAGTCCGTTGTATCAACATGTGGTTATGAAACAGTCTATCATGAAGTAATAAGGTGCATAAATCAGCCCTGTGCAGTGTGTGTGTGTGTGTGTGTGTGTGTGTGCGTGTGTGTGTGTGTGTGTGTGTGTGTGTGTGTGTGTGTGTGTGTGTGTGTGTGTGTGTGTGTGTGTGTGGATATTTTTCTGTCTATGTCTTTATATGTTCATTTAGATTAATCTCTGTTGTGCTTCTTTTCTTTTTTGCTCCGTGTGATTCTTGTTGTGAGTTTGCAGTTTCCTTTGAGTGTGTGTGTGTGTGTGTGTGTGTTCATGCCTTTTTTTATTGTAGTGCCATAACCCTGGTAGTCTTAAGCAAGCAATTCCTGGCACAGTGGCACCACAGAGATGATAAACTGACTTGACTTCAGAGTCCACAGCCATGTGTCAGAGATAGTATTATAAACCATAGATCTACAAAGCTACTATCTGCCATCTACTAGATTAGATGCTTTATTCTGCTGAGAGTTGGAAACTTCGAACAATAAAAAGATAAAACTGTTCTGCAGTCCTCCTGGCCTTAGCTAGGAGAGCTTTAATTAGAAAGAACGATCTGCGAGGAAGCCATCACTTTCTGTCTCACAGTATTAATGATAAATTGATCATCAACTGAGGCCAGACTTTGACCTCAGCAGCCCTGATACTTGAACACGACCAGAAAACATTACTGAACAAGTGTCTTTTCATAATGAGACATCCAGCTCTCAAAATAATGAAGACCTACTTCAACAAAAAGACCAAGATAAGAGTTAAAACTATGACATTATACAGAGTAATGAATCACTTCAAGATGCTTTAGTTGCAATTTTGTTTTGGATTGTTTCGTGCTAACTGATCAATATTTTCATATAAACAACGGATGTAATGACTGCATGAACAATGAGCTAAAAGAGGCTGAAAAGCTCCAAAGAGGGGTGGGTCTGTCACTGTGAGGGAATCCACCAACATTATATGTCACCTTATTTATTGTTATTTTGTAAGATATTAACAATAAAATAGAGCTTTAATGCAAACTTTATTTATGACCCTACAAAATAAACACACACAACTACCTACGGTTTGGTATCTAATATAATAAATTATATTGCAGGTCATTATTTTTTGTCTAATGCAGAAGTTGTTCACCTGCTAAGTACAACAGATCATAACAGCAATTTGTCTTGGTGACATCGCTGTGGAAAATAATATTTACCAAGTGTAGTTTCCCATGACACACTTTTCAGGACAACTTGACTTTCCATACAGTGCAATAGACACTGAACGTGTCATGCATGTGTCACCATTAGTCAGTTTTATCTTTTTCCCCAGAGATATAGATGCATTCAGTGATTTGACAGGCGTCCGCCATATTGGAGCCTTCGAGATCTGCCAATAAACAAACAGAGACGCACACTTCAACAACTCGCTTCATTCTCAACCCATTTTCACATCTGGTTTGTTGTAAACGTGAGAAATTAAACATGATATGGGTTAATTGTTGAAATTAAATTCAGTTACAGGGGTTGGACGTGTGGACGTGCTGGCACATCGCAGTGATACACAGCAGCGGTATCTATGTTTGAGGTATCTTCACAATGAGGTATCTCAAAAAAGACCACAAAAAAAAAAAAAAAAAATCAATAAAGTTGTTTTTTTACTTGACTTTAGAGCATTGTGTACCTAGTTTAGGTGAATAAAGGCTTATGTTATTTTCAGTCCCTGGTAGAACAGTATGAGGGCCTTTTGTGCCATAAACTGAACTAATTCAGATATTTGTAGGAAGGAACCGTCTTCAAAGTAGACCAGTCAAAACAGTGGGGGCTCAGCTAAAAATAGGCTTCATTACATCAGCTCATTGCCCGTGCACAGACTGGGCTGGCAGGCTGACTCATTGCAGCAGGTCAGTAATGAGATACCACTAACTGGGCCTCAAATCAAACACACATTCAGCAAAGCAAAGCTAAGACAAGATGCAACTGCACTACACTTTTGACCCCCTGTGATTCATACACCTCTTTTATTCATCTTCATTCTGATGTTTTCTAGAGCGGAAAAAAACTGCTAATTCTTCGGGTCCACCCATATTTACCCCCACCAGTGAGATTATTTATGCCTCCAGAGCAGCTCTGCCTCGCAGGAAAGTTTGCATAACTAAAACTCCATCCTGCCTGCTTAAAGTAAATATCACCCTTGGATGCTCTCACACGGTCGGTATCAACACATTCCAGGACTTTTGTTATGATGAAATGTTGTAATTTATCTCTTCGTTACAGACACCCTGAACCTGCTTTTGTGTATTTCAACTCCATTTATCAATTACCTACTTTTGCAAGAATTACAACAAGACCCAGAGAACTTGCGTCAATTTGTTGCATTGAGCTTTTATGTTTTACAAAGAGGTGGAAAGATCAAATACAATATTGACCTAATGAGGAGTGTTACCAGACTAAAAAGGAAAATGTTTGTGCTGCAATTCAAGATGGACTAGCTGCATCACATGATGGATGAATAGTGACAGCTCACCTGAAAAAGAATATACTATCATGTTGATAGTTTTCCTGAAGATAGAAATAAAGACTAAAACTTTCTGCATGACTCAGAAAACGGTTTAATTAAATATAGGTGCAGCAGATGATCGACCTTTCCAAGCATCTAAAACTTTTCACACTGAAAAACCTCGCAAAGAAATGGCTGCTCCACTATCACCATCTTTATAAAAAAATAAAAATTAAGAATAAAAAAAAGTAGATTAGAGGTTGTATAAATAAGCCTGTACCCCAAAGCAGGTTTCACGTGTTTAATTTCTGCTTAACTACTAAAACATCATAAAGGCCACCAAGCAGAGGGAGCCACTGGTTGCCTAAATATAAAATGTTTCTGTTATTTTCAGGCAATACAATTCTATTTTGTTTTGTTTTTTTATGTCCCATCATTGACCTGACTCTTATGTGCTCGGAGCTGAGCAGGATGACGGCTGGCAGATGTTGTTAGTGTCACTCACAATGAGAGCAGTGAGCAAGAAGGAAATGACATCTGTCTTTTCTGGAGGGGAAAACCTTGAAAACATCCTTGCACAAGCCAATTTGAATGCGATACAAACGCAACACTGGTTATGTATCATTATGTCAAATAATATTTTGTATGCAAGAGGATTGACAAGGACATTCAAGCGAAACTGACTGTTGTTTAAGAGCTACACAAATAAGATGTATTATTATTTTAACACATTTTTTTTTTCATTTATGTTAGTTTGAATGGATTGTAAATGTCAGACTGTGTTCAGGCCATAGGGGAAACACCTGTTGCTATTTTCATTTGACCAAAAAAAATGAGAACTTTTACTATAAATGTTTATTAAATGATTATTATGTTAAATGTTTTCTATAAATGCATATTTATGCCGCAATTGAGCATTTCAGGTCGGAGAGATTTAATCTGCGTGAATGATTCTTCCCAAGTAACTGGAGATTTTATTTTAAAATATATTGGATTCATTTTGATTTATTGATTTGTCTCATTTTTTTTTTCCTTTTAGAAGTGTGTTCTCACGATGTCATCATTTTGGATGTGCAATGCTTGTGGTTACTTTGTGTTGAAGTTGTTCCACATATCCCATAATTGATTCTTCCTTCACTTCCTCTGCCTCCACCTTCTCCTCTCTCACCTCCTTCTCTTTCTTTGCCTCTTCCTTCACTTTCGCCTCCTCTGACTCCGCCATCTCCTCTCTCTTTTCTCCTTTTGATCATGGGATTTAATGGACCTCGTCTTTTTCTTCTTCTGTTTCGCCTCCCTCACATCCTCTACTTCCTGCACCTCTTTCGTCTCTCCCTTTTTCGTCTCCTTCTCATCACAGTGCTCCTTCTTTAACTCCTCCTATAGGCATGATCTATTTTGTGTCTCGAGTTTGGAGGTCTTCTCTTCCAGAACAGCTATATCTGCCTGGTTCCTGTCAGGTGTCTTCAGTAACTGTGCCACTGTCAAATTCAGGTTCTCGATTTCGTTTTGTTTTGTCCTCAAGCGCCTACCTCTCTGCTCTGGCATTTTCTTTAAGCTGCTATATCTCCTTCTAAAGGGCACCGTTTCTTTCTTCTCATAATTCAGGAGTCCTTTCAACTCCTGAAGTTCTATCATACCCTCCTGTAAATCCATCAGCTTCTTCTGAGTCCTCTTCTTCTTCATCCTTCTTCTTAGAGTCTTCCTCTGTCAGCGAGGCATCAAAGTTGTCTCCTTGCTTACGGTTGTTCTTGTTTGACACCTCCGTCCACTTGACTTTGAACATTTCAGTGAACATTTTATCAAACGAGTTGAACATTTTCTCCAAATTCCTCAGAAAGGTCCACATACTCGTTTGCCTTCAGCTTTTGGTTTTTGTTTTTTAGCTGTTCAATATCTTTCAGCATCTCTTCTACTGGGGTTTTGTCCTCAATTTCTGTTTTTTTCTTCTTCTGTGTGCTTTAATTTAGCAAAGTGATACCACATAAATCTACATAAGAAATTACACTAAAATCTAAGTTTCACTGCAGTTTATGTTTTCCTACACTTCTTATATAAACAGTTAAAGACAGGACTCGCCCTTATTTGTCTGCAGGAAAGTGTTTTTCCAGACAAAATGTTTTACTGCCTCTGCTGCTTTGAAAACAAGTTGTGCTCTTGACAAAATCATAAATACACACTAATAAATCCACATTCGACTTCATGGGGTTCATCACTGTGGGGATAATAAACTCTAATTTTAGAAAAGAAATAGCTTCACAGGATCAAAATAAATTCCCCTTCCAATAATCATTCTTATTTCAAAAATACAAAACTGATCATGTCTTATTATTTATCACCAAACCGGCTATCGGGTCGCAGATATCCCACTGTTAAATCATAAGATTTATTCATCAGATAGTTGCTAATATATTAGCATATGACAGTAAGCTCTCCCAGGGAGCAGTGTGTGATGGGAATTGTGTCCTATTAAATCATCTCCTATTGGAGCTCTGCTAAAAATAAGCCCTCCCACAGAGCACCTCAGCCCACCTCATGTAAAGCAGGATGCAGACTGGACACTGTGTGGAAACAAGGCCTGCTGGTTGAAAGAAAAATACCTGCCACTAGAATGGACGGTTTTATCCTAAAACTGGCTGAAGTACTGCAGCTATTAAAGCTTTATTTACTTTGAATAAAACTACAACTTCTTACGGGAAATAGAATGGGGTCTACATTAATCTAGATAATTAGCTCAGCAATTAACAATGAATGAAGGAGAGTCTGAGCGTCAGTCCAGACTTCCATTTGGTTCTGTTCAGCTTTCCAGGAATAAGAAATATCTGCCAAATATCAGAGGAAATTTAAGTGGATACATTTTTGGTTGCTTGGTTGGGATTATGTCTGCACTCTGAGCAAACAGTTCTGGAGTGCCATTCTCTTTCATCAGCAGAACATACACCCATTAGGCATAATATTAAAACCAGTGTCTGGATTTACTGTTGAGGCTGATTTGTGTATTTCAGTCTGTACTCGTAGCACTCATACAGCAGCATTGCTTCCCTTTATTCAATATCATTACGCAGATACAGATTGTTAATACAACTTATAAATTAAATTTTAAAAAATACAAGTATTTTTAGGTTAAAATTAGAATTTAAAAATTAAAAATGCCCTTAAAAGTGCCTGACCTCTTGTTTCTTGCGATGTGATCATTCTATGGTCACATGTATATCCTACATAAATCCATCAGTGTGCTGTGATCTTAAGATTCACACTGTTTGGCTCTTATAATGTCGATAATCTTATTACTGAGGTTCATTTGACTGCTGTAGCCTTTGCAAATCAAGTTGAAGGAGAGTTCAAACTCAGTATATAAACCTAAATGCATGCTATGATTTCAGGCAGTGTGTTTCTTTCAGGCAGGCCAGGTCCTGAGGTCTTATTGGTGCTACCTCAGCCTGTTGTTACTGACTGACTGAGCGCGCTGCCAGGATAAACTGATGAGTTCTCACCAACCTCACGACCTAAAGTAAATAGTCAGACAGTTTGCAGACGGGCGTTCATGGACTGAAGTGTCAGCTCCAGGAATGTTGTGCTCTCTCTCTCTCTGTCTCTCTCTCTCTGTCTCCCTCCTTCATAGGGTCCAACGGTGCAGAGAGACAAGCTCTCCTCTGGCTAAATCTCTCCTTGAGCTGATTCGACTTCTCTCAAATCGCCCCTCTGTCTTTCTATGTGAGAGCAGAGAGTTTGTTGTGGGTCGTAACCGTCCACCCCTTTCCTAAGATGGAGCAGAAGTCCAGCTGGTGCACACGGATGGCCCTTCCAGGCAAAGTGCACTAGTACTGCACACAACTAGGACACCAAGCTTTCACTTTTTTCCCTTCTCTCCATCATACTTTCCTTTCAACTCTTAAAGTTTAAAACCTTTTTTTCCTCACTCCATTTCATCTTTTTTTGCCAAAATCTATGTTTCCTCCTTTTCTCTGCTGTCTCCTTTTCATTTCTCTCCCTCTGTTCCCTCCACATTGTCTGTAGTGTGCATGAATACTCTGAACAAGTGGGCAAAGAGAAAGGGAGAGATACAGGAGAGAAAGGCAATCAGAGGAACAAATGATAAACTGCCACCAGGTCAGAGCAGGTTATAACAAATGAATAACTGTAGAGGCCAATAAAAGTTAAAGTATTCAGCAAGAAAATGACAAATTAAAGAATTAGAGAAAAGAATATTGTTCCCAGCTCATGCAAGAGTCCCTCAGATTCATCTTGTGACCCCTTGTGGGGGCCCTGAGCCTCAAATTGGGGACCTGTAGACTGTTCAGTCTCTATTAATAATTTTTGGTGCCCTAATCCTTTAAATTGAATGTTTGAAAAAGAATAATAACATAACAGCAATTTTCACACCTCTGGTTTAAATTCACAGTTTCAGAGGCCTATTGGGATTTTTTGTTATTTGTGGAACAGACAGAAAAGCTCCAAAAAAAAAAAAAAAGCTGAAAAACACACGCAAGAGCAAACAAGCTAAATCAGACTCACATCTGCCTGATAAAATATCAGACCTTTTCACCAGCTCTGTTTGAAACCACTTCTCTCACTTCTCATCTTTTAGCCTTCCTCTCCAGCCTTCTTCACACAGACGCAGAAAAGCAAACACTTGGAAAGGCTTTCTGTTCAGCGGGGCCGGGACAGTCAGAGGGGGGCTGATGAAGAATGAGGCCAGGTGGCACAGGACTGAGTCTCTGTGCACCATGTCAGCCTGCCTGCCAGCCTCTCCAAAATCAGGAGTCTGGCAAATATTCTTGACGTGTACAAACCGAAAGTACCTGCAGTGGCGGCTGCCTCGACATTAATCCTGCACTGATCCACTGACACACCTGCTGAAATGTTCGATCGCTCCGTCAACACAAAGAACTCCTCCCTTAATTGTGGAAATACATTAACTTCTGGTGTGTGTACCCGCCAGTATACATACAATATATTAAAAGGCACTTAATCATTTCATTTGTATTTCAAATTGCAGAACCTATTTTTTTTTATTAATTCTACAAATTCTTTTACCACTGAAAAGGAAAAGCTCCAACATGTGATAATTTGGATTTTCTATTTTTAATTATCAATTCGTTGTTTAGTCAATAAAAGTGTTGTCCTCAAGCTGTTTTGTGAACAGTAAAGTGCTGCTACATTATTGTTGCTTCAGTATAGTGTAAGAAATATTGGATGCTGCAGTTCTGTTTCTTTTGTCAGCTATTTCAAGGTCTGGTCAGTGGTGGTTTGACAGATGGTACATGCTCTATAATTTTATAGCACTTTCATCCTGAGAACAAAGTGCTTAACAAAGCCTCACATTCACAGACAGACATTTATGTACAGCACTGGTGGTGGCGCTGCCATGCAAAGCGCTGACCTGCACATCAGGGGCAGATCTGACGTTCCAATATGTGCATTAAACTGTTTTTGGGCAGCTATGAGATTTTTTTTTGTCATCGCTGTCTCTCTCAGGCCTGATAACCTGATTGAGCTTCAGCAAAACTGTCCGCTTTGTCATTAAAATCTTGATTTTAATTCACCTGATTCTTCATGTTCACCTGGGGAGGTGATGACTCAGAGTCTGTTAGTGTCTGCTGTTTTGCATGGATGGAAATAATCAACGTCATCCATCCGAGCGCAGGGAGATAACCAAGATGTTTAGTGTGTCAGGGACGCCAGCAGCAAATTAAGACTCTTGTACAACTCCAAATGCAAACATTCCCCAGGCAGGAAATAATTTCTGCATTGTCTATTCACACACGGCTACCGGCTTCAATTAAATAAAGATACAGGTATTAAGTTACAGAGTATATTATGAACGATAAACAACATGTTTGTTATAGCTCATCTTTATGTAACATCTCCTTTCAGACATGGACCTCACAACTGGAATAAAACCAGTGAGAGAGACCCACTTTTTACTGCTGCACTTTGGCTCTGACCACAGGGGGAGCCGTTTGGAAAAGTCAAAGATCTGTTCTCAGCTGTTGGTTTTAAGGATGTTCTCTAGAGAGACTGATGACACTAATATCTACTAATTTGAAAACACTTTTTCCCCACTGTAGAAATACTGGAGAACACATCGCTGTGATTCTGGATATTAACAGGCAGTAACAACATTTCTGTGGGACAGGACATACAGAGTATATGAACATACAAACTAATAGTGTACTTTTAACTCTTATCCTGGTTTTGATTATATTTTGGATACGAAATTTATAGTGGACATAGAGAAACCTGGTTATTTCTGTCCCTGTATATGAGTCAGAATCCAGATTTTTTTTTACTGTGTGCGTTGGTGCTGACGGCTCTTCTCTCATCAATACTGTAGACACTTCCTGGAACTTCTATGACGACAAAGTCACCTCAACATTTGAACATGAACCCACTTAAGTTTCTGGTTTCTACATCTGATCACCAGTTAAGGAAAATGAGAAGGACTTTGACTTTAATTTCAGTTAATAACAACATCACATGTCTTAGAAACTACCTACATTAACTCCAGATGATGGCTCACAACAGTGATCAAAAACCATGGTATCCAAGTAATCCAACTAGCATAATCAGGTTTCTAAGGACCAGGATAAAGGCTTGTCCAGGTCTTGAAACCAGGATATGATGTTTGTATCAACAAACACATAACTGGGAAACACGAAAAAAAAAGTTTGTAAAGTATTGTGTTATCATTGAAGTGATGATTGACAGATTCTTTTGTTTTTGGATCTTCATTATCAATATCTGGCTAAGGGGAGAAGAGAGGTTTTAACCAGGTTTTCCAATACTCACATAAGAATCCATAGATTGATTAATGTTCCTCAGAGTTGTGATCACATATTTTATTCT